ATTTCAGAGGGCATCCTTCACTCGCTATTACCCTCCAGCCAAACAGCTTTTGTCAAGTCCACTGACAAACTCTTCCTAGCCAGACCTCAGGACCAGCTCTGCATCCTGATCCTCCTTGAGGCATCAGCCCTAGTTGTCTTCTAAGTCACGTTTTCCTTTGCTTTCCCTGCTTCTGTCCCACCTCTCTTCTCTGGGCATCCTTCAGCTCCTCTCAGAACATTCTTACGTGGTGGCCAACAAGAAGTCTTCTTGCCGAGGCCTTAGAGACTGGGTCACAGTTTAATAAGTAATTTGACTGCCAGGAGAGAGAGAAGCCAGAAGAGCAAGCACTTCCCTCCCCGGCTAGGGACCCTTGTCCCTGGAGACAATGACCACGTGTCGTCTGGAGAAGTCTGGGAGAAGCCTTCCCTTCCTGCCTTCCCCTTCCCAACAGGGGCAAAACTACCGAGATCAGCAGCAGCCATTTGATGGCAAGTCTCACAGTTTGCTAGAAAATCTACTTTCTGAGCAAGTAGCAAGGTCTCACAGCGCTGCCCTGAACGGAGGCCATGGTCCAGAGGCATCTCAGCAGCGTGCTGCCTCACCACGTGGGGATGTCCAACGGGCTGCGCTTCCCGGTTCTGCAGAGGTGGAGACAGCTGAAGATGGCTCCAATGTCTCTTGGAAGTTCACACCTCTTTGGTGGGGACTTGCCACAGGTAAACAGCAACCCAACACCTCACCGCCTTCTGCATCCATGTTTTGCCATAGTATGCAGCATTCAGATACAGGTGCACTCTTGCAACAGCAAATGCTGCAGCCCACGTAACTTGTTACTGTATTAAATTTTGCCTTTGTACAGGAATAATGAATTTCCTTGAACACTATCATCCGGTGCTCAGTAGAAAGCTTAGACCTCTACAAAATCATGGCAGACAACAGTTCCACTTTTAAAGGGGCTATTTTAGCAGTGACAAATGTAAGTTGGAATTCAAGTCTCCAGCTTTTCAAAACTTTTGGACAACCTTTTTTCCTGTTGCAGGTGTACCTTGAAAATTAGTATATTAAAAAATAAACTTTTGCAGAATATTTAGCTTCCATGCTCTTTTTCATGTGAGGTGGTGCTTTTTCAGTCATGTGGTTTTATTACACTTCTTTTGGAGAGAGGAAACAATGCAAAATTTAGAGAGGGAGTAGGGGTTCCCAGTACATGCAAAGTCCTTCAATGCTGGCACACAAATCCAAAGATAGTTTTGAACACGTTTAGATGGACAGCATCAGCTTCACCTTTGCACCGAATTTTCTTGGCTATATTTAGCATCAAACAGCTCTGTTAGCATTGGCTTATTTACCTGTTTTCTAGAAAATTAGCTCTTCCGCTCCCACTCTACACTCCATGCAGTTCCTCCTCTGGACCAGCGCTCCCCACCCCAACGGTTTCCGACCCGAGCAGCCGGCCTCGCTGGCAGGCGGCACAGGCAGCCCCGCGGGAGGCAGAACCCAGCTCCACTCACTCGCTGACCCGCAGCAGCCGGGAGGGTACCCAGGTGCCTTTGGGACACAACCTCTGCCCCAAAGGGTCGTGCGGTCACCGCCACTGCGACCACGCAGGGCACTTCTTCCCAGAACCACTAGCCTGAAGAGGGAGGGAAAAGCAATCTTGTGCTATTTTTATACCTACCCAGAAACATGAGCAATTTAACCTCTCTCTGATCTGCACTTTGCCTGTGGCCACAGGGCTGGGTTTTGCTTTCAAACCTTCAGGCAACGCCCGGCGCTCCGCTTGGCCACGGACGCACACGTAAGCCGCGCACTGCTCACGCTGCAGGCGATACTACCACAGCTGGATGCAGCCTCAGGAGCTCCTTAAGCTAAAACAACTCGCCACCCTCTTCTTCGTTGTACAGAATATTACACACATGCACACACTGCTTCTTTTGCTTGACTTCTGGTCCCTTTTGCTGGGCTTCTGTAAAACCGTTTCGCTTCTTACACAGCAGCTCTGCCCAAAGGAAGGGTAGCGTTTCAAGCATTAGCTTTCCATGTACCAACTTTCACATAAATTTGCTTTGTCTGCATTTTGCAGACTCTTTGTTGGGAGATTCAACTTTGCTTTTCAATTTTCTAAAGGGTCTGCAGTTTGCTTACTCAGCTCGCTGTAATGACAATGCAAGGATATCACAATCCCGCACGTTAAGATCAACAAAATTGACATCACCCATCATTAAGAGAGTTGTGTCTCTCTTTTCCTTCCGCAGTTTGAAGGAATCAATGTTCTGCAGTTTGGTAAATCCCAAAAACTACCTCCAGAGTTAAGTCAGGATTTTCTGGCAGTCTTTTTCTCAGTTTCAGCTCTCTGATCCCTACTAGAATCTAACTCAGAACTAGTGTCTCCACAAGCTTTGAGTGTTAAGTTTACTCAGCCCCAGTAGTATTTTAAATGCCTTAGTGTTTCTTCCCCTCTCCTTTTTCAGCCTTCTGTGAAACATATCTTCTAAAACGTTTCCTTCTTTCAGGACTGCAACATTCTTCAAGTTTCTGCAGCGATGTGATAATTCACCGCTGTCTGCTCACCGGTCCTGCAGTCTACCCCATCTGAATCTTTATTGCCAAGGCCCAGCAGTATTATTTAAGAAACCATCTTGCTCAGCTCACCGTCAAAAGACAACTCCTGCTTGAATCTCTTTTAAACGTCTGCTGCGTCTGTAGACAGTTTTGGCCACATCAGACTAATGCATCCTCAAGGCGCCACCTCAGCTTTTACTCTTGTCTGTGTGCACATTTCCATATCTACTTATAGTACGTATTATTTCACAATTAGTGAGAACTGGAGTGGAAGCTTATCAACATTACGAATCTAAAATAGCGATTAGCAAAATTGACAGGAAAAGGCTTGCTAAAGAAAAAGGTTGATCCGTCTCAGATAAAGAAAACAGGCATTGACAGCTTAACATCAGCTGAAATTAATTCTGTGGGTATTACTTTAAGAAAGATTTTTAGCTGCCAGGACAACCTTAGGACAGGGGATTACGGACACCTTCTGCATAACGCTTAGCATAACCAGGTCCTAATCCAGCATCACAGGCTAATTCAGCCTGCAAGGGGCCTCAGGGGGTCTCTGGTCCAACCCCTGCCCAAAGCAGGGTCAGCTCCGAGCTCAGAGCACGTTGCTCAGGGCTTTATACAGCCACATCTTGAAGCCCTCCACGGACTGAGTCTGCCCAGCCACCCTGGGAGCCTCTTCCACTGCTTGGCTGGCCTCGCGGTTAGAAAAGAAGCAGCATCTCTACATGACACTTCAATCCAAGTAAGTTTGATGGAAGAATTTCAGTCAGATTTAATTGTCATTTAATTCAAATCTAGATCTAGGCATCTGAATATAACAACTGTAATTAATATACCATCTAGTCACTCTACTAGTATTTCTTTGAGCCTGATGGAGGACACAAACATGACACCGCTGAAAAATGTGGCCACTGCTACCCTAGTCATCTTATAATAAACACAGTTACACATTCAGGTATTACGGTTTTTATTTCAGATGTTCAAAACTCAAGTCAGTCACCACTTACTGTCAGCTGAGCACAAGGTCTGTAATACATACAACGCAATACAATGCTCAGAAAATGCTGCTCTTAATACACTGTTGCTAATTCATTTCCCCCTTTACACAAACTAAAAAAACCCAAACAAAAACACAAAACAAACTAAACTTTCAGCGTCCCTGAAGTTGCTCTAAAAAGACAGCAGTCCAACTGAGCATAGGACACATCTGCAAAAAGCACTTAGTGCATGCTGTACATTACGTTTAGCCTTTAATGCTCAGAAAACATAAAGCTCCTCCATGTATGCACATATTGACTGAATCAAGACCAAGAGCTAAGCATGTCAGAAGTCACAGCACGTCAGTCTCTACTGTGCCATCATCCCATTTTTATCAACAAGGGAGAGAAACCAAGTACCAGACACTCAACCCAAATATTCAGTGATAGACTGCAACAAGCATCTGAAGCTGAGCAGCAGGAGCACAAAGTTTTCTGGTGGTGGTTTTCTGGGTTTTTTTTGTTTGGTTTGTTTGTTTATCTCTAATGAAAAATAGTATTACTAGGAATAAACAAATTAATAGATGCAGGGAAATTAACCTGAGAAATATGTTAAAGAGAAACATTTCAGATCAAGGGCATCAAAGAAAACTCAGCGATAAGATGCAAGTGAATGAACATACAGGTTTACCCTGACATCTGGCAGATGCTTAGAAAAACATGCTTCTGTCAGCTGCCCAAAACTCAGACTATCCCTAGAAGGCACCTATGCTGACTATACTGAATTAATAAAATTTCAGTATCTCAGAGTGAATCTTGCATCCTGTTTAATCTCAAGAGCTCTCTTACTAAAGCAGAATCAGTGGCCCAGCTAAATGGTAACTAAAGACGAATGCAACCCCAGACCTGTTAGCACTGAGGAGAAGCAGGGTCCAAAACTTAGATCAGTATAAAAGGCAAAAATATAATCAAAGAATACAACATTTTGTCTTCAGAATGGGGAAGTTATTAGGCAATGATTTGGAAAACCAGCCTCTTGGGGGAAACCAAAGGCCTCCTGTGATTTAAGCACTTTACGTGCTATTTATCTACCCTGTCTCTCTCCCAAAACTGCTACCCCTACAAGGAGGACAGCAGAAAATGATATGC